AGATAGTATGCAAAAACAGAAATTGCTGGAGAAACTCATCAGATCTGACAGCATCTATGGAGAGAAAGCAGAGTTAATGATTTGAGTCCAGTGACCCTTCTTTAGAATCCGGAAGGGCAGCACGGTGTCTTAGTGGTTAGCACTGCTGCCTCATAGCGCCAGGGACCCGGGTTCAATTTCACCCTCGGGTGACTGTCTGTGTGGAGTTTGCACATTCTCCCCATGTCTGTGTGGGTTTCCTCTGGGTGCTCCGGTTTTCTCCCGCGGTCTAAAGATGTGCAGGCTAGGTGGATTGGCCATGCTAAATTGCCCGTAGTGTTCAGGGGTCTGTAGATTACGTGGGTTATAGAGGGATGGGTCTGGGTGGGATGCTCCAAGGGTCGGTGTGGACTTGTTGGGCTGAAGAGCCTCTTTCCACACTGTAGGGATTCTATGATTCAACCAAAGATTCCCCAGCACTGTTGTCGACAGGGCCCTCAACTGGGTCTGACCCATCTCCGTCACTTTGGCCCTTATCCCCTCTCTTCCCTCCTGCAACAGCGATAGTGTCCCCCCCTTGTCCTTACCTACCATCCCACCAGCATCCACATCCAGAGGATCATCAGGCACCATTTCCACCACCACCAGACACATATTCCTTGTCCACCTTCCTCAGGGACCGTTCCCTCTGGGACACCCTAGTCCACTCTTCCTTTACTCCCAACACCCCCCACAACCTCATGGCACCTTGCCCTGCAACCGCAAAAGATGTAACACCTGCCCTTTTACCTCCTCCCACCTCAGCATCCAAAGGCCCAAAGATACCTTTCCAGGTGAAGCAGAACTTTACCTGCACTTCACTCAATCTAGTCTACTGCATTCATTGCTCACATTGTGGTTTCCTCTTCACTGGGGAAACTAAGCATAGACTGGGTGACCAACATCTACTTTCTGCTTGCAAAAAAAGGACCCTGAGCTATCTGTTGCCTGCCACTTTAACACACCATCCTGTTCCCTGTCCAACATCTCGAACTCAGGCTTGCTGCAGTGTTCCAGTGAAGCTCAGCACAAGCTGGAAGAACAGGACCTCATTTTCCACTTGGGGACCCTGCAGACTCAATATCAAGTTCAGTAACTTTCAGGCTTGAGCTCTCCCATGTCCTGATCCCAATGCCCACTCATCAGCCCTTGTTAACACATAGTTGGCTATTACACTCAACCCATTGTTAGCCACTAACAGTCCCTATTAAAAGTTTCGAGCCAGATCATTATCCACTCCTTTGCCGGTCCAACTGTTCTTCCTTCTTTTTAGATTCTTTCCCCACCTATGGTTTACTCCTTACCCCCTCCCCCCAATCCAATCTTCTGCGTATAAACCAACATTTTCCTAGCTACCATCAGTTCTGAGGAAGGGTCATTGAAGTTAACTCTGGTTTCTCTCCACAGATGCTGCCAGACATGCTGAACTTTTCTGGCAATTTCTGTTTTTGTTTCTGATTTACAGCATCCGCAGTTTTTTCAGTTTTTACAATAGAGGGTATTATCAATGTGAAAGAAAGAAGATCAAAGCTGGAAACTAGATAATCAGGAACATGTGATTTATTTTAAAAGGGTAGGCGGGAAGGGAAGTGTGATGGGATAGTTTTGTTAGTATGAGATAGAATAATTACAATTGCAAAAATGATCTCAGATGAAATGACTTAGGATCCTGATGGGTGGAGGTAGGAAATAATGAGGGGAGAAGGACACTGTTAGGAATAATTTATAGACTGCCTATCAGCAGCCATTCTATAGGACAACAAATAAGTCAGAGATAATGAGGGAATGTACACATGACAGTATATTAACCATGGGTGACTTTAATCTTCATGTAGATAGAGAAAATCGAATTGGCAGTAATAGTTATGATGAAGAGCTCATAGACTATAATCAGGATAGTTTCCTTGAAGAACATGTTGTGGTTCCAACCAGGGATCAGGCTATCTTGTATTTGCTAATGGAAATACACTATCGCCAAGTTTGCAGATAGGTGGGAAGGGAAGTAGCGAGCATGACTCAAACAGTGTACAGAGGTTATAAACAGATTAAGTGAGTGGGCAAAAACTTGGAAAATCGAATATAATGTGGGAAACTGTGGTGATGCGCTTTGGCAGAAAAAATATTATTTAAATAGAAAAAGACTGTGGAGGGCTAAGCGAAGAGGGATTTGGGGTCCTCATACGTGAATTACAACAACCTAGCAGACAAATTCAGCAGGTAATAGGGAAGGAAAATGAACTAATATAAAAGCAAAGACAAATAGGCTGTTGGTATTTATTTCAAAGGGAATGGAGTATAAAAGTAGGGAGATCCTGATAAAAATATGGAAGGCATCAGTTCGGGCCACTCCTGTAATGCATGAACAATTTTGCCCCCCTTATCTAAAAAAAGATATACTGACATTGGAGGCAGTTCAGAGAATGTTTATAAGGTTGATTCCTGGTGTGGAAGGATTTCCTCTGAGGAGAAGATGAGTAGATTAGGCTTATGTTCATGGGAGTTTAGAAGAACGATAGGAAACGTTACTAAAACATTTAAGATTCTTAGTTGCCTGACAGGGGAGAAAAGAAGGGACTGTTTTCCCGTGTGGGAGAATCTAGGACAGAGGGAATAACTCAGAGTAAGGGGTCACCCATTTAAGAGAGAGGTGAACAGGAATTTCTTCACTTAGATAGCAGTGAAAGTGTGAAAGTTGTTTACCCTAAATGGATGTTCAGGCTGTGTCATTAAGTATATTCAAGGCCAAGTTGACAGATTTCTAATTATTAAGGAAAATAGCGTTTGGAAGATATGGCAGGAAAGTGGAGTTGAGGATTATCAGATCAGCCATGATAATATTGGCTGTAAACAGCAAGCAGTTACTTTGCCTATGGTTGACCTGATACCACCACCCCCATGAAATTTAATGGAATCCAAAGCCAACGTTAAGGATGCTTGGGCTATTCCTTCTTGACTATACAGCATACAGTGACCTCAAGTCACATACCTAGGAATAGTGATGGTGGAGTCTGGGACATTGTCTGTAAGGTATGATTCCGTGAGTATGAATATGTCAGGCTGATTGTTTGACAAGTCTGTGAGACAGCTCTCCCAATTTTGTGATATCAGTAGTTATGCACATATTTGTAAGGAAGAATTTGAAGGATCGACAGGATTGTGTTTGCCATTGTTGGATCCAATCCCTGTGTGGATGTAGGACATTTTGTGTGGTTTTGGTTCTTTTTTTTAGACTTTATACCATTTGATACAATGGGGTGGTTTGCTTGGCCATTTCAGAGGGTAGTTAAGGGTTAACCACTTTATTCTGGGTCTGAATTCACATGTAGGTCCTTCCCTTAAGGGTATTAGTGAACTAGATGGATTTTATACAACCTACAGTGGTTACATGGTCAGCTAGCAAGTCTTTTATTTCAGATCTTATTGAATTCAAGTTTCACCATCTGTAAGTGAGATTCAAATCCATATCCCCAGAACATTAGCCTGGGGTTCTGCACTACTAGCCCAGTGACAATACTGCTATGCCTCTGCCTTCTTAGTTGGTGAATTTGGTGAATTCACAATCTTCCATCAGAAATGCAAATTATCTCTGGACTTTTTGCGCATCACAGTTGTCATTACTTTAATATTGGCTATTGCGCCTTTGGCTGCTTGGAGCTAAAGCTCTGGAATTCTCTCCCTAAACTTCTCAACCTCGATCCTTCCCCATTAAGGATGTTGTTTAAGAGTCTCTTTGACCAACCTGACATAATGTCTCTTCGTGTGGATCAGTGTCAATTTTACCTGCTGTGATGTGAAGCACCATGTTAAAAGTGTTGTGTAAATTCTAATTCTCCTTGTTGCCATTGACGCATTAAAGGGGAATGAGATAAACACGACTGAGAAAATAGAATGATAGGCTGATACATATGAGGTAAAATGCTGCTGTAAACCAATAACAAAGTGATATAGCATGCACGTTAACAAAAATTGGCTTGCTATATTTAATGTAGAGCACTGTTTTGCTCAGTATGTAATGATAGACTGGACATACTTCACCAAACAATGGGAAGGATTGTGGTTTATGAAAGAGCAAACAAAGATTCCATTTAGTTGGAAACCAACAGAAATTTCTGGAAAAAGTCAGTGGGTCTGGCAGTATCTCTGTAGCTGGGCCTGGGGTAATTAAAATGTTTGCATATGTGACATTTGGCAGGAATAGTCTCAGTTATCCGCTGGAGATGTGGGAAGTCTCTGTGAAGAAAATAGAATTGAAAGGAAGAGTTGCATTTTATTTGACAGTGTCCTTCAGTTGGCTAGGCTATTTTTTTCACCTTGACCTCTTAGCTCCCTCTCTCCCTGCTATCTTTCAATCTTTATATTGACAGATCTGTTTTCAACATCAGTTGTATCCACAGATCTCCAAGCGTAGGTTTAACTATCACATTTCTCTTTTTAACTCTGCCAGACCTGTGTTAACATTTCCAGCAATTTCTGTTGCAAGGTGTGTGAACTACATGATGTCACAAATAAACTGGGCGATTTTTGCTGAAGCAATTTGCAAACCAAAATGAGATCTCAAACCTAGAACTGACTCACTGACAAATGGAATTCATCCGAGTAACAAGTGGGAGTCATAACATACCTTTTAGTGTATTATAAATAACATTTGTTGTCAGGGATTCAAGTACCGGAGAAGTTCTTTTTTTTGAATAAGTTAGTAAAATGATTTATAAAATAGCCAATCTTGTCAATCAGTAACAAAATGGATGATGGAAAGTTGTGATATTTGCTGGGAATGTCTGTGCATGTTCGCTGTCATCTTACCTGATTCTTTTTTGCTGTGTGTTGCAAAATTGATTCTACTCTCCTTTCAGGACAGCAATCTCAGCTGTTATTTTGAGTATATCAGCAGTCAATCTCATCAAGCTGAGTGGGAGATCAACCTTGGTCACCTGACTGATTAGAAATGGACCAGGTTCAAGGTCTACACTTTAAAGTTTGATCCCAATACTTTGTTCGATCTCTTTCAAGTTTAGATTTCCAGGGAAGAGCAAGAAACTCAAGCAGCTGCAAAAATGAAAGGTTGGTGCTTTCAGTTTTGCACAGAAATTCTGTTCATTTCAAATGCATCTTCTTTGTTCAAATTTCCTTGTCAAGCTGTGTTTTATTTAATGACAACTCACTGAACAGTCTGCCAGTGAAGAACAGTTATAAAACTCACTAAATCCATTTCATACTGTCACTGTAACCGTCCAAAATTGACCTGCAAAACGTCAAAACAGCTTTTCATTTCTTTTTTATTTTCAAAACTGTCCTACAGATAAAAAGAACAAAGATGAGGAAGAAACAAGTTCAAAGGTTGGTAATGATCATTTTCAATTTCTTTCATTTTCTTATACGGTCAAATGTTTTGCAGAATGGTCTTATAACTAAGTTTGTCAGCTGCATTTTCTAAGTTCGAAGTTGGGGGATCTGGTTGTTCGGTGTTCTGATTGATCTAGCCTCATGTCAATTGTTTGTTTTTATTTAATGGCAATGTGAGTGTTCTCTTGATGATTTTAATCTATGGCATTTTTTGCAATGAAGTAAGTATTACTGGGGCAGCAATTAACAGACTATCTGTCTATGAGATATACCTTCAATCAAAGGCCAGAGAGAGGTAGAGTTAATGGTTTCAGACATAGCAGGAACTGCAGATGCTGGAGAATCTGAGATAACAAGGTGTAGAGCTGGATGAACACGGCAGGCCAAGCAGCATCAGAGGAGCAGGAAAGCTGACGTTTTGGGCCTAGACCCTTC